ATTAGTGATCAACAAGGGATTTACTGCACAAGCTATCAACATGAGATTAGGCTGAGAGCAGTGGCAGGTCTAGGGTGTGACGGCCACTGTGACCAGGGTGTGGCTGAGTAAACATGCTTAGTGAACCCTGCCCAGGACAATAAAGATTACATTGACAAACATGTGCATCAGGAAGTAGAAAGACAGAACTGAATATAAAAGCAGGAGACAGTGTAGTCGTTTTACTTGAACTGCATAGAAATCGTTTTTATTTTTCTGTCTTACAAGCACAGTCATGGAGACAATGCCTGTAATGTGTCTCTCAGAGCAAAGTTAAGACATTTTCCACAGTAGAAAGTGTTGTTGATTTGACAGAATACTTCAATAACTCAATATCAATAACTTTAATTTCAGATGATAAAAGTTAAAATGTAAACACTTAATACGTGTTTTTACACTCAGAATTTAAAAAAAAAAAAAAACTAGATGGCTTCTTTTGGGTCAGTTTAGATTGACACAGATATGTTTTTTAAGCTTATACATGAAGAAACTTTAGGCAGTGAGATCATGATAAGATGGGAGGATGAAGGGTTCCAGGTTTCAACTTGTCCTGTTTCTTTCATTTCCAAGAATTTTCATCTAGTCAGAGTCGCTGCTGGAGCTGCTGGAGGACTGCAACAAGGACGAACGCAACAGAGAAAATGAGTCAATGAAGCACTTTAGTCTTCTACAAACTTGATGTGAAGCCCAGATTATAACTACTTTATCTACACTTAGTCTAAGAATATAAAACTTGTTTTTTTTTTTAGCGCTTCACTAAAAGTTTTGCCAATATTTCTTGAACAATACAGCACTTCCTGTCATTTGTAAGTTATGCTTGTTGTGATGTAGAACTTTGTCTTGTTATATATGTCACGGTTTAAATTTGCAGGAAAATCCTATTTTTGCACTCTTTGAAAAGAATCTTACCGAATGGCCGCCCTTCTCTTTCTTGTGCCCGTGTTTGTGCTTGTGCTTTTTCTTGTGCTTGTCCCCATGTCCGTGTCCATGGTCATGTCCGTGTCCATGGCCGTGTCCATGTCCCTGTCCATGTCCATGGTCATGTCCGTGTCCGTGTCCGGGGCCATGTCCATAACCAGGTGCGGGTCCATGACCAGGCCCAGGTCCATAACCAGGCCCGGGTCCATAACCAGGCCCAGGTCCGTGGCCTACAGGTCCGTGGCCTCCAGGTCCGTGGCCTCCAGGTGGGCCATAGGGCTGAGGAGGGCAGTGTGGTGGAGGGGCAGCGCCTGGAGGATAATTAGGGTAACCTCCCGGCGCCTGCTGAGGGTGGTTGGGGTACCCAGGGGGGTACGGATTTCCTAAACATACGGAGAAGAAAGCAATCAGACATCAGTCAATATTTATCATAACAGTAATCATCAGCTGTAGAATGCACATTAATTATTGACGGCTGTATTTACCTTGGTTGTGTCCGTACATTCTGAACTCGCTGGAGATCAGATCTGCAGATGCGGCCGTCACCTGCTCGTGCTTTTTATATGCAGCTGCACCTCAACCTGGAGCAGGGGCAGTGCCTGAACTTACATTAGCACATTTTTGCTTTGTCACCAAAACGTGTGTGTGTGTGTGTGTCTGTATAATCATTAACATAAAGTCAGTGTGGACCATATTCTGTCTTTTATATGGACACACACCCACATGCCAGCTTTTCAGATATTGCTGTATTTACTTGTTGTTACCAGTATTTTATAGCGTTTTTCCATTCCTCTTGAGAAATCTTTGTGATAAGACTGATAAACACTTCCTACACTCCCTCTACTTGCATGCTGACAGGTTCTCCCATTGCTGGGAGAGCCAGCTGCATGGACGCCAATTTACTCAAGTAGTGCATTTGAAGAGCCCTCTGTAAAAAGCATGTTTTTATCTTGTGAACACTTTAACATGGCGTTTTTATGTGCTGGAGGACACATCACGAGTGAGATAAGCACACAACACCATTGTTGAGATTTCCACCTTGAAACTGCAGCGTACTGATGACAGTCTCAAAAATACAGATTCAGACTTTCAGGGTTTCAAACATAACAAACCAAAGTCACCGATCCTGTTGACCTACAGCGCAGGGCTTTCTGTATCATTATTCTTCTTCAGAATCAGTTTCCAGTTTAAGCACGTATGGCTGGAATATTCTACTAATATAGCTTCCCACTGAGTATCATAGTGTAGTTTTACAGTGTTTGAGCAGAGTCGTAGGTGAGCTGGTGTCCTGGAGCTGCAGCAAATGGGGAGGGGATGTATAGGGAGGCAGGGCTTCATAGACACAAAATCTTCTAAATATCTAACTTGCTACGCAGGAAGGAGTTTGGGGGCTTAATCAATGTCAAGAGAGGGATTTTACCTACAATTTACAATTTTTCACTTCACTGCAGTTCAGAGGTAAATATTTTACTCTCTCCACGAGTTGCTTTAAAGATCAAGGCTCTTAAAATGCAACACTAAGTTGCAGATTAAACCAGTGTTTTCCAGCCTTTTTGACTTCCTACAAAAAGCAGAATTTAGTTGAACTCACTTTTTCAGATGGCTATAAATTGTTAACAGCACCAACAAATAGAGAAACTGAACTCCTTTAATGGTTTCATTCCATCTGTCCTAAAAATCAAAGAGAAAGAGAAAAAGTTCGACAGGTAGAAACACACTTGTGGATCAGGACTTTTCTTTTTTTCTCTTTCACTACTCATGTTTGAAGCTTCCCCAGATTCATCTGTTGTCCCTGTTTGTGAAACTGGATATAAAATAGTTTAAACCTGCAGCAGCTATATCAATAACATGCTGCTGACACACTGATGCACTACTACTGCTATTGAAATGTAATAATAATATATCAGAGGGACCAAATCTGGACTTTTACGCTCATACTTTAACTACATTTGCTGTTTATACTTATTTAGTTTCACATAAGTAAGATTTTTCATGCAGGAATTCCACATTTGCCAGAATGACTTACATGAAAACACGAATTATTTCCAAGCCTAAACAAGACATCGATGTCATTCGCTGCACTGTGCTTTAAACTGCACCTAAGTGTTTGGAAATCAAAACACAAAACACCACTCGCTGAGATTAAGCCAGAAGTGTAACATGTCTGACAATATCTGCTCATAACAGGCAGAGCAACAGCTTAATGGCGTTATAACTAAAGATGGGCATGTGCTAAAAACTGGATTCAAGTGAACGCCTATTGCTGCGAGGCGTGTCACTATTAAGGAAAGAATTCTGCTGAACAAAGGTCTTAATTCAACCTTCCCTTTGCAAATAAAGATAATATAAGCATACAGTGGTTGATAAGGCAGGAAAAGTAATAAGAAACAACAGAGGTCAAATGGGACAGAGAATAAAGAGGCCAAATTGTGGATATTTGGTTTTATATCATGAACAGAAACCAGTTTTATGTTGTATAAGAACAGTTACGATCACCATCTAATACAGCCACAGATAACAATAACAACACACACACTCCTGGTAAAGTCATAAAAAATTTAAAAAAAAGAAGCCATAATGATAAACAGTACACGTAGAGCTCTTTCTGCATTTATTTTTTTGTTTTGTTTAATACCTTGTACAAAGCAATGTTTTTGATTTAAATCCTGATAGAGTGAAACAAAACGCACTCCTGCTTTAAAACAAAGGTCGCTGAATTAACTGGTTTTTGAAGCGATGAGGAAGAAGGTTTCCAGGCGACAACTTGTCTCTTCATCCAGAAATCTTCATCTAGTCAGAGTCACTGCTGCAGGAGCTGCTGGAGGACTGCAGCAAAAAACAAACATCGTCAAACAATCAAGTTATTATTATTGTAGTATTATTTTATTCTAATTAATATACACACAATATTATATATACACACACACAATATATATATATTAATTCTTCTTCTTATTATTATTATTATAGTTTAAAAAATCACAGTATACTGATTTTTTATTTTTTTTTAAACTTGCTTCTAACAAGTTTAAAACACACATTTATCAGATATGGTGTAATTTTACCATTTATTTTGAGTCCTATTTCTAACTAGCCAATTAATCTAAGTAAAATATTTTCTGTCTTTTAGCTCAGTTTTTGGTCACCGACACCTTCTGAGGGAAAATATCTGTCTCTTTAGCTGCTTAGTAGCTCACTTTTTCACCCCCTTTCTGTTCATTTTACCTGTGAGGGTTTTGTTTTTTGTTTTTTTTAGATATTTTTTTCACTTACAATAGCCATTCAAAAAACAAAAGGAGAAATAAAGCAGCTGGTGGGAAAACCAAAACAATGAGCTCAAAGATGCCAAGGGGGGCGCTGGGGGGAACTGCAGAATTAACTATGAGAAATTCCTTCACATTACACATTTGATTTATTATTAAGAAAACTTAAGTATACAAGATAAAATGGCGACTCCATATTTTTCACTGTTTATTGTTAAATTAAACAACTGGATCTTACCCCATGACACTTCTTTCCTTTCTTGTGACAGTGTCCATGCATGTGACCGTGCCTGTGTCTGTGGCCATGACCATGACCGTGTCCATGATGCCCATGACCATGTCCGTGATGCCCATGACCATGTCCATGATGCCCAGGACCATGACCGTGTCCATGATGCCCGCGCCCACGACCATGATGCCCATGACCATGATGCCCATGACCATGATGCCCGTGCCCATGATCGTGTCCAGGACCATGACCATGACTGTGTCCGTGTCCAGGACCGTAATCAGATCCACACCCACAATCATGACCTCCATGTCCTCCATATGGTGGGTTTACAGGAGGGCACACAGGTGGCCCATATGGAGGAGGGTAGGGCTGGTATGGTGGGGCAGGACCTGGAAGCCATCCTCCTGGCCCTGGTGGAGGAGGACAGCCTGGGCGAGGGCCTGGAGGACATCCTCCTGGCCCTGGTGGAGGAGGACAGCCTGGGCCTGGTGGAGGAGGAGGACATCCTCCTGGCCCTGG